CCCACCACCACTCTCACTCTCTCTCACACACACACACAGAAAAAACTCTTGCAGTATCAAAGTCACTAGAATCCTTATCCTGGATCCCGTTTTTGATACTGGGGTGCTATAAAACAAAGCCGTAATAGAAAAGGGGGTCTTAAGTGCTACTTTCCAACTATATAGCAGGCAGAAATAAAACGACCATACCTCAACACAGATAACAGATGTCACTTGAGCACCAATATTGACAATGCATGCCGTTGATAAACCATTTCCAAAAACTGCAGCAAGACCTTCCTGGTTCAACCAATTTAAACAGAACATGAATAACAAAATGATTTAACCTACATTTTCATCCCTACTGTTTGATTACACAAGGTACAGTTAGCACTTCTTTATAGTTGTTTCAGTAGTCTACATTTCCAAGAGCAGGTGACTACATATTCAAGAATAAAGTTTTCCACATTTCACCAAACCCTTTAACATCCCCATCTTCCCGAACGTTTCTTCATTAGCCCTCGGGTAAATAAGAATATTTCATCAATAAGGACAATGGAAGGTAAGAGAGTCTCCACGATCCAAAAAGACAGACGAAATAGGAAACTTTTTACAATGGATGGTAAGAGAGTCTCCACGATCCAAAAAGACAGATGAAATAGGAACTCCAGAAAAGTTTCTAACATGTGTAAAATTACCTTCGTAAATAAAAATAAAGAAAGTTTCTAACCTCTGCAATTATAGTTGTGCAACCAAAACTTTCATAACCATGAAAGATCCAGGTTTTCAAATCGTCACATGAGTAATGGACTTCGAAAATTAATAAAGCTATCCGAAAAGCAAGCCTTGTCTTCTTGTTAATTTGGAAGACATAAATTTATTTGAAACAAAAGCAATTCTTAATACTAAAAATGGCTCCCTCTGTCTCATTTTATGTGAGATGTGACACACTTTCCTTTAGTCTGTCGCAAAAAGAATGACACATTACTCTATTTTAGAAACTATTTAATCTTACCAATCCCATGGTACAAGATAACAACAACAACTACGCCTCACTCCCAAACAAAGTTGGGGTCGGCGATATGAATCCTCAATTCTTTCTTCAAGCTCAACTCATATTATAATCATGCCAAAATAAAATAATAGTAGTGAAAATAAGTTTTACTACTACAAAGAGCGATCTTTTTCTTCCATTGTGCCCTATCTTTAGTTAAATCTGCATTGATTCTAAGGATTTGTAGGTCTTCGAGACAATTTTTTTCCGTGTGAGTTTAGGTCTACCTCGCCCCCTTATAACGCCTTCATTCACCATAGTTTCATACCTACAGACCGGTTCATCTTTAGGGCGATACAGGACATGACTAAATCATGTCTCCTATTTAAAGAAAAGTTGGATTTTTTTTAAGAAAGGTTAAAGAAAAGGAAAATTGGATGTATTAACTTTGATTGATATTAAATAGCCCAAAAACAACTTCTAAATAGTAGCTTAATTTCCCTTAAAGCCAGACGTAACTCCCATTTAGAAAGTGCAGCAAGCCTATCTAGAAAATTGCAATTAAGGTAGTAATATGTAAGGTCTTCTACGATTAGAGCTACTAAATGGCACTGTGTGACGATACGTACCTATACACACAAGTGTTCTAATAGCATTTTTAATTTAAAAAAGTGGATTTTGTGTTGTTTAAAATGCAAAGGACAAGTTTACCAGATCTTCCTAGAAATAGAATGAAGAAGCAATGTCATGTAGGACGGTAGTAAAAGAGTTCTGCACGGGTAAATAAAAGGTCGGCATTTAAACTATTTATGCGTATATTTCAAGCAAGAATGAAGGTTTAGATCTGACTTGTGTACATGGAATCATTTTATTTTAAAATTAAAAAGTTCAGGAACATAACATCACCTGGTGGACTACTGCTGAGCTGAAGCTCAAGTCACGCAACACGATAGAAAGCATTTCTTTAATTTCTGCTTGCATAAACAACAAAGAAGTGTTATGTCAAAGAAGAAATGGTGTGATCATATGTTAAAGCGACATAACAGATCAGAAACATCTTATATAGTCTACAGTCTTTGACACCTCTTTTACTTTGTTGGGCATGGATCTAGGAAGCCTCCAGTGAGCTTTTATGAAAGACAGAGCACTCTCAAGGAAATGGACACAAAGCAAGCAAGATATAAAACATAAAAGATCCAGTGACCAGTTAGCGACTAGATTCCTTGTGAATGTACTAAGAGGATAATGGATGGTTTGATTGACGAGTCATTGAAGGTGCTGAAATTTGAAAATATTTCCAGGCGAAGAAACTAAAATGCAGAAACATTTTTGACACCTCCAGCAGAGGCAAGTTAGCAAAGATTGACATGAAATTAAAGTCTTATTCTTCTTCTTTATTCAATTTGATGAAATTAAAATTTTTTAAAATGTTGTTACTGCTGAAGTCCAGCCTGGGTCCATCAATCTGAAGATTAGTCACGTACAAGCATGTAACGACCCGACCGGTCGTTTTGAGCTTTTGCACTTTGCTCGCCAGTTCTTGGGTATGACTTGCCTTGCCCCGTGTGATGTATTATGACTTATGTAAATCGTTGGTTTTGGTTTTCAGGGTAATCGGAATGAATTTGGAATAACATTTCTCAATTTGAAGCTTGAAATTTGAAAGGTTCGACCAAGATTTGACTTGTTGGTATATGATCTCGAATAGGAATTTTCATGATTTGGTTAGCTCCGTTAGGTGATTTGGGACTTAGGAGCGTGATCGGAATGCATTTTGGAGGTCCGTGGAAGGTTTAGGCTTGAATTGGCGAATTTAGATTTTGGAGTTTTCCGGCTGATAGGTGAGATTTTGATATAGGGGTCGGAATGGAATTCCAGAAGTTGCAGTAGTTCCGTTGTGGCATTTGGGATGTGTGTGCAAAATTTCAGGTCATTCGGACGTGGTTTGATATACTTTTTGATCGAAAGCGTAATTCGGAAGATTTTGGAAGCTTAGGGCGAATCCGATGTGTTTTGGTTGATTCGATGTTATTTGAAGTGTTTTGAAGATTGGTATAAGTTCGAACAAGGTTATGGGATATGTTTGTGCTTTTGGTCGAGGTCGGGGTGATTTCGGATGGTTGACGGAGAAGTTTGGAATTTTGGTGAGCTGCAGATTTTCTGCTTCTGTTGTTTCCGCACTTGCAGATTGGGGACCGCAGGTGCGATGCAGCAAATGCGAGGTAGAAGGCCGCAGAAGCAGAAGAAGGTGAGGTAGGTTGTGACCGCAGAAGTGGTTGGGTAACCGCACCTGCGGTGGCGCGGGTGCGGAGATAGCATTGCAGATGCGGAAAGTTGGAATAAGTGAAAAACCGCAGAAGCGGCTCTTGGACCGCAGATGCGGTGGATTGACCGCAGATGGGAAAATGCCTGGGTCAGAAAGTATAAAAAGGTTCCCTTCGCGATTTTGAGTGGGTTTTCACCATATTTCATTCGGGCTAAAGCTTTGGAGAGCTAATTGAAGAGGGAATTCAAGAGGATTTCATGGAGGTAAGATATTTGGACCCTAAACTTGTTTCTACGATGAATTTTAACATTTGTAAGCTTGAAATCTATGGAAAATCAGTAGCAAAAATGGGTAATTAGGGCTTGAGATTAAGGGACCTTTGAGTGGGGATTTGAGGGGCCATTTGAGGTCCGATTTTGATGTTCTTGATATGTATAGACTCGTGGGAGGATGAGAATTATATTGTGTGATTTTTGTCGGATTCCGAGACGTGGGCCCGGGGGCCGGATTTGAGCAATTTCGGAATTTTTTATGTAAATTGGATATTTTCGAGTGGGCTTTGTTCCCTTAGCATATTTTAATGATTATCTACTGATTGTGGAGAGATTTGGAGCATCCGGAGGTTGATTCGTGAGGGAAAAGGCATCGCGGGCTAGAGTTTGGACCGGATCGAGGTGAGTAATGATCGTAAATGATGTCCTGAGGGTATGAAACCCCGGATTGCACATCGTGGTGCTATATTGAGGTGACGCACACGCTTGATGACGAGCGTGGGGTCGTGCACTGTTGGGGATTGTGACTTAGTCCGTCCCAAATAACTATTTTACCGCGTATTTGACTGAAATCTATTTGCTATCATCATGTTTTGGGTTGTGCCATATTTGGGCTTCGTGCCAACTATTTGAACCCTTAGGGGATTTTTATTGATATTCCTCACTGTTTTGACTTTATACTTGAACTCAGTCATGTTATATTTTACTATTTTCATAACTCATCCATGTTTACTCTGTTTTAATATATCAAATGATATTTCAAATAATATTTTGGGTTGAACATCATGTTTTACTGTTGCCCGAGTGGCTTATGTGATTTTGACTGAGTAAGGCTGAGGGCCTGTGTTGTGAGGATACTTTTGGGTCGGGCTGCACACCGCAGCGGTGATACGCTGGTACTATATTGAGGTGACGCACACGCTTGATGACGAGCGTGGGGTCGTGCACTGTTGGGGATTGTGACTTAGTCCGTCCCGAATGACTATTTAACCGCGTATTTGACTAAAATCTATTTGTTATCATCATGTTTTGGGTTGTGCCATATTTGAGCTTCGTGCCAACTATTTGAACCCTTAGGGGATTTTTATTGATATTCCTCACTGTTTTGACTTTATACTTGAACTCAGTCATGCTATATTTTACTGTTTTCATAACTCAGCCATGTTTACTCTGTTTTAATATATCAAATGATATTTCAAATACTATTTTGCGCTGAGCATCATGTTTTACTGTTGCCCGAGTGGCTTATGTGATTTTGACTGAGTAAGGCTGAGGGCCTGTGTTGTGAGGATACTTTTGGGTCGGGCTGCACACCGCAGCGGTGATACGCTGATTATGATTATGAGGACAAGGGCCTAAATTTGTACGCCAAGAGGTGGCTTGTTGATATGAGGCCGAGAGCCTATGTGATTAGGCCACGAGATGGCTTGATATTGTGCTTAGGCCGTAAGGGGCCCCTCCAAGAGTCTGCACACCCCCAGTGAGTGCAGGTACCCATTGTGATGTGAGATATTGCCCGAGGGGCTGGTATTATTATGAGATATTGCCCGAGGGGCGGATTTGTTGACATTGTGCCCGAGGGGCGAACCTTTATGTGTTTATCTTTCTTATTTGTCTGTCATTTACCTGTTTAATTGTTGAAAAGGTATTTCCTGAAGTTTAAACTGGACTAAAATGATTTTTCACATATCTTTACCGATTCACTATTTTACTGCTTCATTATAACCTGTAATGTGTCTTACGTGATTTCATATTTCTCAGTCTTTATTTATGGTTATTACTCACTGAGTTGGAGTACTCACTTTACTTCCTGCACCCCGTGTGCAGATTCATGCATTGTTGATCCTGCTAGCGAGAGTTGAGAGCTCCCGGCAGACTTCGAAGTTCACGAGGTGGTTGTTTGGCGTCCGCAGTCCCGTGTTTTCTCCCCCTTATCTCCTTTCTTTTCCCTTGTCAGTGACTTTGTAATAGCTTTGTAGACTTTATCAGACTTGTGTTAGAATTGATAGATGCTCATGACTAGTGACACCCCGATGTCGGGCTGTGTTGGGTTTTATTTCCGCAAACTGTACGGTTAACTTCTTATTATTTGGGATTTTATTGAGTTTAAGGTTTAATTCTTGTTGTTTAATTGCTTAAAAACTGAAATGGGTAAGTGTCGGTTGGCCTTGTCTTCATGAGAGGCGCCATCACAACCAGGTCCGGGTATAGGGTCGTGACAAAGCAATACCTAAGAAATCTTGCCAAAGAAATTAAATGACAATCTGAGGAAGCGGTAGGGAAATTTCCTCTTCATCAAATGTTGGGCATCTCCATGGTTGACAACACCCACTTTCAAAGCTCTTGTTCGGAATTCTGGTTTTTCCATTTCAAATTCCTCGTAATGGGTGAGTAGTGAAGTTACTTCGAGAGACCTTTTTATGATGGGTCACTATCTTCGGCATTAGGAGTGGCAAGGAAATTTCAATGCTAGGAAAAATAGGGAAGACAAGAGAAAGGAAAAGGAAAGAAAATGGATATTTCCATTTCGTTGTTTGGTGTTAACAATATGAATAGGAAAGAAAATGGAGATATAATTTTCTTTCGAGCCAACTAATTATAATTTCCCTTTCCTCTTTGATTCTCTCTTTTAATACTTCTGCCTTCCTTTGCCTTACCTTCCCTGTTTCTAAAATCAGACGCAACTAGACCAGAACAGCTCTTTGGATTCAGCTCGATCTATTGTCAACTAAATTGACTGTCCTCATTTCTCAGTCCAACAGGTCGGTGCATGAGTAAGAGGATACACTGTCACATTCTTTATTTATATTATGGTGGTGTTGGCCAACTTGAGAAAACCTTAACTAATCCACCAGGTAGCCCACTACAGCACACAAGGACAAACGTGGGGTATCCCTGCCCACTAAGGCTGGAGCAGCTGGGTAATCATACTGTCACACACTCAAATATCTCTCTTGATAATTTAGTTAGTGGAGAATTTTTTTTCCGTAGAACACTGAAACTTCACATTTCTTCATGAATGAAAACAAGTGTACAGATGACACAATGGCATTAATAAACCAACCCCGGGAGAATGCTCCCAAGAGAGACCTCATGCAGAAGAGAAATAGCAAACTTAGCTAGCCTATGAGCAGCTTAATTCCAAGATCTAGTGGAGTATGCACCTTTTCATTTATCTCCCAAATATTGCAAACTTAACCAGAATAACAACATTCTAGCCTAAAGATAAATTTACCAGAGTTATGTTTCAGACACAGAAAAGAATAAATAGGGAAAAAATAAAGTACATGTACCACGACTGTCGAATGTCTCTGGAAGAACAAGGATTGCAGAATACATGTTTCTCATGCTATGAGGAATATGCAATTTCTCAAGCAAAATCCAATCCCAGATGGTATGCAGGTCTTCAAGAACCTAAAAGATTTCCCCAACTATTATATTATAAATAATGAACACTGGAACTCTAGTTAATATGAACAAGTTACATTGATATACCTTTACTGGAAAATCAATAAACAACATTTCCAAAGAAATGTCAATGCTCAATGCAAAACATGGAATTCACAATCCAAAAACATTAATTTCAAAAGTAAAATTACTAACTTGTGAGTAACAACGGGAAGAAACAGATGTACATCAAATTTTTCGTGCATCGAAAGGAAACTTTGAAACAAGATATTACCTGCTGCGTAGGGTAAAGTTGAGATATATTAAGATGACCTCGGCGTATAGGACGGCGCAAGCAATATGGTTCAGTTGGGGATATTCGTAGAGCTTCCTCTCCACATATGTACTCTCTATATTTACGTTCACTGGAATTAGATTCAACCTTAATCTTGCTTTCCTTCAGAGTGGGGTCCTCGCTGGTACCACCCTCGTTTGGTTCGGCTTCTACTGCTACAGCTAAACATAATTACTCATTCTTGAAATAAAGAGAAAAAAACTAACATAATAAGCAAATTTAGCATGCTCTTGTATCGTCTACTATTAAAAATCAAAGAAAAGCTGAACTAATAAGAAAGTATCATCTCTCCGACATGGACGTTCTGATCAATTAGAAGTCTTCCCACTGAGTATAAGCATTGAATGTTTTAATAACAGAACTGATAAAACCTAAATTTCCAGTAGAGATATAATCAAACAAGAGTCCTTAGTATTCAGAACAAAATGTCGAAAAGAAAAACAACATTTTCAAGTCCACAATTTAAGATTAGGTAATCAACTATGCAAAAAGACAAATAAATTTTAAAACAGGACTGTCATACAATATCCTTATCATAATGTTCATCCAAGAAGCTTGACAGAGGAATATCAGATAATAGTTAAATGCAGAAAGATCTGCCATACATACTAAGGTATTAGAACAGCCACAGCAGCTTATGCAGTATTATTCAGAAGGCACGACTCGGCTGCTTTAGACATTAACAGCAGTGAATATTGTCATGCCAACTGAAACATAGGGCTACTTGCCAATCAGCTAACTGGCTAGGACATCACTAGCAAGCAAAGAAGAACGAGCAGGCTATGTATGTAGACCCCAAAGAGTAATCAAATGCAACACAAAGATTTGTGAATCTGTACATATCATAATTGGTTTATAACAAAACTATACAACACTAACATTCAGCATCGAGAGCACAAGAGCCAAACCTAAACGAAATTGTCAATATGATAATGTTTCACTCAAGAATGAACAGGTTACAGTTCTCACCCTTTGTTGAAGAATGAGGGACATTTTTTTCTAAAACATCAGTCCAAGTGAACTCTGGCTCTTTCGTGTTATTCTGCGGAGGATATGCATCCACACGTCCCATCTGTAGAGATACACACAAAAGACTGTCAATAGATATATTTGGAAAAGCATGACTATAGATACTTTAGTTGCACAAGTTTCGATTCCAAGAAATTGTTCCCGAAAAAATCGAGTTTCCATAGCTCAAACAACTAGCTCTCATCACACATGTACATGAAGATCTCACAGAATCCAAAAGACAAATTTCGCATTATATTTAAAAAGCATAAAGAATTCTCCCAGGTACCTTGCGTGGATAAGAACTGTTAGCTACCTCCTCATCCAAGAACGGAATTCTCAACAGCGAAGCAATCTGATGATTAAAAGGTTCATGCTCACACAAATGATTAAACTTCTGTTTTTCAAATTCAGAGAAACAAATCAAATTGAACATTGTTTACTAATAATTCATGTACAAACCATGTCATACGCTCTTTCCCGCTCCATATGTTGTGCAGTTGTAACCTGAGAATTCACCATCTAAACACCAAAAAAAAAAAAAAACACTTTCAAAAAAGATATCATCAAAACAAAATAATCACATAAAATTACAAACTTGAAATCTGAATAAAAAATAAAAATAAATTAAAATCAAGCTCAAGTTAGAGAAAAATCATAAGAAATTGCAAACTTTAGTTAGAACTTTTTAAAACTCCTCTCTCCGTCCCAATTATGTGGCACTGTCCGATTAGGCACGGAGTTTCAAGAGAAAAAAAAAAAGTTATAACAAGTCATAAACATTTGTATGCCCGTAAATCATCTTCGTAACAGTAAAATGAAAATTTTAAAGTTAAATTATTTTCAAATATGGCACCGTGTCATTCTTTTATGGATGAACTAAAAAAAGGAAAATATGTCCCATAAAATAGGATAGAGCGAGTATAAAAATTCAAAATTTGGCCTTACTTGATCTTGAACATGTCGTTTAGGTAATTGAGTAGTGCGACGGGAAATGCAATGAGGTATATTGAATGGAGTATCCTGATTAGCCAATCCAATTCTGATATTTGCGGAACCTAAATTTACAGTGCAAATTTTTTTCGACATAATTTACCAACTGATTAAGCAATTAATTAACACACACAAAAGGTCAAAATTGAGAGGAGTTAGGGTTTTTAGAACCTGGATTAATGACGACGATATTGGAGCCACGCTCGGTAAAGAGGTTCGTAGGGACTACTGTTTTCATGTAATCCTGTGTACCATGCCATTAACGAAAATTGTTAGATTTTTTTATGTGTGTGTGTGTGTGTTTAGCAATGGAGAAAGTGAGTACCATGGCGAAAAGAAGCTTATGTTGGTGCCGAGGGAGCAGGAGCTACTGAACTGAAGAAGAAAACGAGAAGTTAAGCGGGTTGCCTTATATATAGTCCTTGAAATTGACTCAAATTGAATTGCTCCACCCTTCTCTATAAATTGATTTTGACTATGTGCGAGATTCTATCTATATTATTACTATTATAAAGGCGTGAATATAATGTCGGTTTACAAAAATAACCATATAACATTAAATATAATAACCCATAATAAAAGAATATAATTAAAAAATTTGAATATAACATTAAATACAAAGGCGTGAATATAATGTCGGATTACAAAAATAACCATATAACATTAAATATAATAACCCATAATAAAAGAATATAATTGAAAATTTTGATATTAGCCATGTAATTTTATTAATTTTAGGACATAATACTACACGTTAAAAATCCTATATGATTCCTGAAATTGAGCTTATCTTCTTAATAAAGAATATAATTAATATCACAAAGGTCATTCCAACAACCAAAATACGCTAACTTTAATATGGATGAATATACTAGAATGATGGCACCTAAAATCTGTTTAAGCTCCAAAAACCAAAAGATATTTACTTTCCTTCAATCGTATATATGAGACATAATTCTTAATGAGGGGAAAAAATAAAAATAAAAAATGAGGCAAGTTAGTTAGCCAGTGGTATATTGGAAAATTTGACTCTCATATGACAAACGACCCTTCATTTTCCTTAGGACGGTGTATTACAATATGTGTAATAAGCTTCACTATAAATTTCAGCGTCATCTAAGAAATCTATATTAGATTTATTCACACAGACTCTTATCCAGATAAAACCTAAAAAGAGATCATTTTACGGAAAAACTATCAGTTATGTCCTTTTATTGTGAGTTATTATGCTTAATATTATAAAGTTATTTTTGTAAACTGACATACGTATGGAGAAAATTAACTATCGATTATGTCCTTTTATTATGGTTATTATGCTTAATGTTATAAGGTTATTTTTGTAAACCGACATTGTATTCATGTGTAGATAGATAGAGACAGACAGAGAGACAGACAGACAGACAGACAGACACATAGAGGGATCGATAGATAGAGGGATAGATAGATAGAGAGAGCGATAGAGAGAGGGATAGAGAGATAGAGAGAGAGAGAGAGAGAGAGAGAGAGAGAGAGAGAGAGAGACAGAGAGACAGACAGAGAGACAGACAGATAGATAGACAGATAGATAGATAGAGAGATAAATAGATAGACAGACAGAGAGACAGATAGAGAGACAGACAGACAGACAAATAGATATAGATTAAATATGTAGGAAGGTTTAATAAAATTAATTTCATAAGAATCCTCCGTATTGGAAATACATAACCACCCCATAATGTCCAATCCAAGAAAAATAAAAGTAATATCAAATGGGCTGCATAAAGTGTTGAAATTGAGAAAAAAATATCCCCACGATAATATATATTTATATTGTATTTGAATTATTTCCTATGAATATTGAAAAATATCCAATTATTAAACAACAACTAAGAAAATAAATGTGTGAGAGGTCATCACTTGTTTTAAAAAGGAATTCTGCATTCCGATGCTTTAAAACCCTCTTTTAGCATCACCTCGATTTGCGTGCGTAGTCAGGGCGCGTAACCGAAAAGCCTAAATATGAAAATCTATGAAAAATGATAAATTTTGACTATAAAATGAATTAATTTGACTTCGGTCAATATTTTGGGTAAACGAATTCGAACCCGTGATTGGACGGTTCCGGAGGGTCCGTAGGAAAATATGGGACTTGGGCGTATGCCCGAAATCGAATTCGGAGGTCCCAAGCCCGGGAAATGAATTTTTGGAGAAAATTGTTTTCTGAAATTGTTTAAATGATTTGGAAATGAATTTTGATTAGAACGTGTTGGTATCGGGCCCGTATTTTGGTTTCGGTGCCCGGTACAGGTCTTATATATGATTTAAGATAATTCTGTGAAGTTTGGTAAGAAACAGAGTCCGTTTGACGTGATTCGGACCTTAATTGGAAAGTTTGGTGTTTAAAGAAGTTTTGAGAAATTTCATTGATATTGAGGTTTAATAAGAGGTTTCTGATGTTATTTTGGTGATATGAGTACACGAATAAGTCTGTGAGATATTTTTGAGATTGTGTGTATATTTGGTTTGGAGCCCCGAGAGCTCGGATGAGTTTTGGATAGGCCACGGGGTGGATTTTTAGACATAGAAAGTTGCAGAAATTTTTGCTGGTATGATCAGGTCTGCAGGCTTTGCATTTGCGAAGCCTGGCTCGCAAATGCGAAGGCTGGATCGCAAATGCGAGGCTTTGATCGCAAATGCGATTAGTCATGTTTCAGCCTTGAGTCGCAAATGCGACTCCCCTCTCGCAATTTCCAACTCGCAAATGCGAGGGTCCCTTTCGCAAATGCGAAAGTCCAGCTTCCCTGAAGGGTTCGCAAATGTGAACCCTGTTTCGCATTTCCCAACATAGAAGAGGTTGGGGTTCGCAATTCCCACATCTGAGACCTACAACATTTATACTTAGACGATTTTAAACTCATTTTTCACATCTTTTCAAAACACAAACACCTTTGGGCGATTTTCCAAGAACAACTCTTCTTCCAAATTGATTGTAAGTTAATTTCAACTCATTTCCTTCAATCATTAACATCTTTTAACATGATTTCAACTCAAAATCAATGATTTTCATGGGGGAAATTGGGTGTTTTGGGTAGAACCTAAGTTTTTTCAAAAATTGGAGATTTGGACCTTAATTTGAGGTCCGCTTTCAAAATAAATTATATATTTGGGTTCGTGGGGGAATGGGTAATCGGGTTTTGGTTCGAACCTCGGATTTTGACCATGTGAGCCCGGGGCAATTTTTGACTTTTGGGTAAAACTTTAGAAAACTCATTTTCATGCATTGGAGTTGATTCATTTAGCGTTTATTATGTAATTAAGTAACTTGTGACTAGATACGAGCGAATTGGTGGTGGAATCAAGGGGTAAAGCTATAGTTGAATCATGAATTTTGTTCGCGGTATCAAGGTAAGTGTTTTGTCTAACCTTAGCTTGAGGGATAGGAGTTGTGTCTTATTTGCTACATATTAATTGTGGAGTAAGACGTATAGGCATGGTGACGAGTATCTATACATTGGTGGCAAGCATGTCCGTGAGTCTTGTATTATAATTGTTATGACTCCGTTGTGGTTTATTTCGCTTCATATGTTATTATCACCATTGTTCCCTTACCGGGATGTTTGTTTGATATTAATGATCCCTTGCCGGGATGTTTGTTTTGATAGTATTGTTCCCTTGCCGGAATGTTTGTTTTGATATTATTGTTCCCTTGCCGGGATGTTGTTGAAATATCATTGTTCCCTTGCTGGAAAGTTGTTATATTGCTCATGTTCCCTTGTCGGGATTCCTTATGATTATTGTTGGCTTGTAAATGGGAGCGGGTGGTATGCCTACCACAAGATATAATGAAATGGGNAATGGTACACCTACTACAAGATATAATGAAATGGGAGCGGGTGGTACGCCTACCATAAGATAAATGAAATGG